GTCGACAGAGTTCAGCACCGCGTTTGAAGACGCCGTCCGCTTGAGCAGTGAGAGGTTCAATTTGATTAACCCGGTGTTCTGGAAGCTGAAACGGGCACTTGACATTGGGTCTGAGAAACAACTACGCTTAGCAGTCTCCCACGTTCGTGACTTTGCACAGAGCATCGTGAGAGAGAAAAGGCAAGAGCTTGATAAAAAATCTTCACTAGACACCGGCGATCTCCTCTCGAGAATTTTAAGTTCTGGGCATGTGGACGAAAGTTTGGTGACGGACCTGGTGATTAGCTTTATCTTAGCCGGTCGAGACACGACGTCGGCGGCATTGACTTGGTTCTTCTGGTTGATATCCTGTCATTCTCAAGTGGAAGAACAGATAGTGAGGGAGATAACAGAGAACCCAGAAGCACCGATATACGACGAAGTGAAGAATATGGTTTACACCCATTCGTCGCTCTGCGAGAGCATGAGGCTATACCCGCCAGTCCCGTGGGACACCAAGGAGGCAGCGGGGGACGACGTTTTGCCGGATGGGACGGTAGTGAAGAAGGGAATGAGAGTGACATACCATCCTTACGCGATGGGGAGGATGGAAAGTCTGTGGGGTTCAAACTGGTCGGAGTTTCTGCCGGAAAGGTGGCTAGAGAAGGATAAAGTCACCGGGAAATGGAGCTTCGTAGGGAGAGATTCGTACACCTACCCGGTGTTCCAAGCAGGGCCGAGGATATGCCTGGGGAAGGACATGGCGTTCTTGCAGATGAAGCGAGTTGTGGCCGGTGTTCTGCAGCGGTTCCGGATTGTGCCGGCGATGGAGGAAGGTAGTCAGCCAGTTTATATCTCCTATTTAACGTCGAAGATGAAAGGTGGATTTCCGGTGAGGATTGAAGAGAGAGTGATCGAGCAGGTTTCCATGTCTGAATGATAAAAGGCTGCACCCGACAAGTATCCACCAATGACATTTCATGTTCAAAACAGTTACTTTGATATCAAATCATTTGAATAAAATGTAAATGAAATTTATATTGGGTAAATTTATGCTTATGGTTTAGGAAATTGGGGCTAACAACCCTTTTCATTAGGTTTTTGGATTTGCTTTTTGGAAAGTTTCAAATGCAGCTTGTTTGGCACTCTGATAATGGTTAAGGAGACAATTATTGACTATGGAATATATCACATATATGAGACAAAGCTTGGATCATTCTTAAGAAGAAGCATCTCAAAAAGGTCAGCCCCTTTGCATATTACATCACCCTGAACCCTTTGGGGATTCAAGTAATGAAAGAACGCCTAACCCGGTCTGCATGGCTATAGGCTTTCATCTTAAACATGAACTCACTTATACCGCGGAAGCATAAGCTATATGCCAACAAGAATCTGCCAAGATATAGTCTGTTGGACTAAAATGTGCATATATACCATGTCTTTCCCGTCTATACCTGTGAACAGAAGCTCTCCATCTCTATCATCAACCACAAACTCAAAAGAACTGCAGTGCAGGGACATGGGGGAACAAAATCTTGAATTCAGGGGGCAGTGCACTCATCGTTGCAGAGGTGATCGGGGAGTCAGGAGATGGGTGGAACCAGAGGTGACCGGTAAAATCACTGCAAAAGACATGGCAAAGAGTGTTTTAGGAATTTTTGAAAAACATATTAATCATGTGATGTCACATGTGATGATGGAGTGTGACGGAAAATTAAGGGCAAGGGAGATTTTAGACAATTGTCAGAAAACTTAATGGTACTTTAAGACAATATATAAACAGTTAGAATAGAGTTTGGTCAATTTCCTAAAACATAAGGTACTTTAAGAAATTTGCCCATTTATATTCAATGTGACATCTTTGTTTTTGTCCAATGGAAAAATTATGATAGGAAATCAAAAGTACATATAGTAGTAGAGCTACTCTCACCGTTCACAGTATGGTTAAATTTACAGACATTATTATATGATTGATTGTGAGCAACTGACTTAAGAGTTCTGCTAATATGATTTACAGATATAATATCAAAAAACTGAAAAGTAGCTAACATGCATTTACAGATATAATATTCAATGTGACATCTATAGGTGGAGCTAAGTTACAGTTTGTGGTCCTTCTTGGCCTCCGAACATTTCTCTTTTAATTTCTTTCTTCTCTTACAGGCCCACCCCTTGTTTGTTAGCAAGTTTCAACTGTATGAATTGAAGCTACTATTGCACATGTATCATGTGATGACATGTGCGGTTCAGCATTTTTGAAAATGTCAAAATTATCTTTCAAAACACTGTTCATCATTTTCTTCCTCAAGAATTAAGATTGAACCAAGGCAATGGTGAACAATCTCAAACCTGTTGGGTTTCAACACTTGTAACATTTTATTGGACTAATTAGGACTATAAGCTTGATGGCTTCATTTAAGCAGTTGTTGGCATCCATACAGTAGGAGACCAGAGTTATGGTAAACCTCTACCACCATTTCGTTTTCTTTTGACTGATATTCTTTCGTGGGAGCTGGATCAGTACCATTCCCTTCCAAAACTATACCAAAAACTTATACCTCTTCATCTTTTGGAGGAAGAAGATGATGAGCAGTGTTTTAATTTTGAAAAGGGCATTTACATGGCTGATAAAGAAAATTAGATGACATTCGAAGGCATTTGTGTCTTTTTCACATGCTACTTAACAGTTGGTTAATGATAGGTACTGGATTGGCACGTTTTGAAAGTTTGGGTGTTGAATTATCGTGTTTTAAAGTTTAGGGACTAAAGTGGCACTAGGCCCAAAGTAAAGGGTACTACTTGGGAAATTTCCATTTTTTTTCTTTGAAGAACTTGGGTTTGTTTCTCAGCTTTGCATTAGTGTTTTAAAAACTGATCTAGAACCATAACTGCTTTGGCCACTAGTTTTTGGGTCAACAATTTGACCATTTGGTTTGAAGGGATGGACTATTCCAATTTAAAAAAAAATAAAAAGAATTAACAATAATTAGAAGATAAAAATAGTAAAAAACTGTTGTCCTGATCAAACAGATCGACAGTTTGACTGCTCAGGTCAATGTATCACTGACTAAGTCAATGATTTTTGTCCAAGGAACAAGTTAAGGATGAAAAGGAGCCGATTGTTTAGACAGTTCTCGAGCCAAATGATCCAACCATTCAGGTCAATGATGGTTCGAAAACATTGCTTTTCATTGTTATATTTCATTTCTCCTATTCTAAGATTTTGATTATGCTCTAATTATTTCCTACAAACTAAGTATTACATAAGCACCTAATTTCTTGGTGACTTATCTCATATGATTTTTTATTTTAATTAAACTAATATTTAACTTGAACACATTCCAACGATCCATTTTTTTTTGTCCCAGCCTCTTATCATCGCCGAATTCCATACTAGTCTCTAACGATCTTTCTCTCCCAATTACCTTTTTTTTTTCCTCCCCTAAGCCTTTTTTTCCCCATGCCATTCAATCACTTGTTCAAGAGATATTGATGTTTTTTTCTTCCTTATGTGTATGTTCATATCAAATTTCTTGTCTCTTTTATATTCTAAATAGATTACAAATCAAGATATTGGAAGATTGCTGGTGAAATTATTTTTTAATTGTTTGACTTGTTATGACATTTTCATTACCTTAACCCAAAAAGAGTTATTACTTTAATCCAAATTTATTTTTTAAATTTTACCATTGGTGAAATTATTTTTTAATAGTTTGTTATGACATTTTCATTCCAAAAAGAGTTATATCACCCCCCCAATGAGAAAATTCCTAGCTCTACCAATGGTCAAATTTAAAAAAAAAATAAATATTTTCTAATGGTTAGCTTATTATGACACATAGATTAACATCCTTACATGGATTTAATAATTCTAGAATACCTTTAGTTAGAGGTAGGGTTTATGAGTAATAATTTGGTCATGTATATACTTCTTTGCTAGCATGGATCAAAATATTGATATATGCACAAGGTTAGGGGGTTTGAAAGTTTGGAAAGATAGAAGCTATCCTCTCAGGCTAATAAAACATAAAAAAATAAGGGTAAATTACACGGACCCTGGGATCTGTGACAAATACCCCCTATACTTTTTTTACGATAAACCCCTCCCTGAACTTTGACCGTTTAGACGAAGACCCCCTCCATTAGTTATCATCAAAAAGAGTTAGCATTTCACTGTTACAATATTTCTAAATACCCAAACCACCCTTTTGACATTTTTTTCAGACCATTTTACCCTTAATATCATTTTAAAGCTTGGCTTTAGCGAGTTATCCCCTTTCTCCAGCATGTTCAAGCTTTAGAAACAGAGGACAGAAGGTTTTTCTTTCATAGCGGAGATTAGTAGAGGGATTTTTTTCATAGCGAAAGTTGGTGGCAACTCTTCTTGTTTCGATGAGTTCACTTCCACCAACCAAGGGCTTCTCATTGTTAGGGTTTAAAAGTTGAAACAAGATTTAATGTACTTCGTTCTTGTCTTGATGAAAGAATATGTGTTTTTTGCTTTTCGACTAAATATATTATTGAACTCACTTTCACATTGATGTGCACAGTTAGGGTTAGCATGTCTAATGTATTGTTTACTTAACAGAAAATTAATGTTTCTTATGTATATTTTGATGGTCATGTAGTTTTTCCGGAAAGAGGTTTTACTGAATTTTAATGAAGTTTAATGATCAAGAAAGAGGTTTAAGGAACTATATATCAATTTTCATGAAGTATAATTATGTTTATTGATTAGGAAAGAGGTTTAGTGATCCATATATTAATTCTCATGAAGTATAATTATGTTTAATATTTAGGAAATGCGTTTAATGATCTATATATTAATTCTCATGAGGTATAACTGTGTTTAATGTTCGGGAAATGGGTTTAATGATCTATATGTTAGTTCTCATAAGGTGTCTCTATGTTTAATGCTCTGGAAATGGGTTTAATGATCTATACATTAATTCTCATGAAGTGTTCAATGTTCAAGAAAGAGGTTCAATGTTCCATATGTTAATACTCATGACATATACTGAATTTTATTGTGTTTAACTGAATTTAATTTGGGAATATTTGTAATTTTATTCTATTTTTAATGTAGCAATGAGTGAGCATTCAACATTTACACTTCAATCACCAACTAATCTGAGGTTTGAAACAAGAGTTTGTGACTATGGTAAGAAGTGTGTGTAAGGGTGTCTGAGATAACCTCAAATCCATAGCTATTGTTCATACTTTATCGGCATCATGGCTATTGTTCATACTTTACTGAAAAAGAAAAGTGTTTTGTAGGGTAAACAGCTGAATGTCAAACCATGTGATTATTTCGAATGGGTTGATCCAGTCAACCACCAAGATGAAGCTACTTCACCTATATACAATGGAGATTGAGAAGTTTGTAGCCGAGCTTGACAATCGGGTGAAAACATTGAAGAACAAGTCTAATCAACTGATAATTGCTGAAGGCCTGGGATTCATGCGCCTCCTAGAACTCATGTTTAGGAAGTAGGGTACCACGGTGGGAGGAATTAAACTAGACTTATTTTGTTTTGTGGGTCTATATATTCGGGGGGCTAATGCAATATACATCATTTGTGTTCGGATGTAGGGGGTTATATTTTGTAGAATCCGAATGGAGAATGCTAACCATGTTGATGGAACATATGACCCTTTTGTATACAATGTTGGAGCCTTAATGTTCATGAACTTTAATACAGTTGAATGAGTTTAAGTTAAGTTTAACTTACGTTTAGATTGAGTGTCAGTTTGAGAATAAACCTATGCCATTTATGTTTAGCTTGAAAGATAATGCATGGGAGAGAAGGAAAAGTAGGAAATTTCCATACGTTTGCCTACCATTTAACAATTGTCTTCATAGGAAATTTTCTCAGTTTTCTTAATTATAGAGCAGTAAAATCCTTAAAATCCCTTTTGTTTGCAACAACACACTAGCTTGAACTTTAACAATTCTCTTAGTAGGATGGCTTGGTGACTTGAATTTTATTCATGAATTGAATTTTTTTAGTACATTCTAAGCATTGTTTGGAAAAATTCACTT